ACCACACATACGAGCCATTTTAGGTTATGGGACATGGAGTAGGACAGAATCTCTCACAGAGGATAGGCGGCAGGCTTGTAACAACTTCAAATTTTGACTTTGTAATCTATGTGCAACCTCGAGCAACCTAACCTGCAAAATAATCTTGCCCGTGATGTCTTGCTCCGAGAGCTATGAGTGGCGGTGGCTCCTCGGCGGAGCGTCTATTTTTTACTCGTTGAAAAACAAGTTCATACACCCAAAAGTTTCGGTGAAATTACCTGTACGATTCAAACTTTTTCAGGTGTGAACCACGAGCTGAAGTTTTCCAACCATGAGCTAAGCTATTGCTACACAGATGATCGTTTGCGCGTGGTGAATACTATGCGGGATGATTCGGACCCACCACCAAAATATTACAGTGCCGACTATGTCACCATTCCTCGATTGTAAAATTGTAAAATAATTAAGCCGCTTTTAATTTGATACAATCATTCCATCATTAAAACTAAGCTTATGTGGCTTGTATCTTACACGTTGAATAATTTACGTCTTATCGATACCCGCTCGTCAACGTGTCGTCCGACGATATCGTAGTTATGTCGATCTGCGGCCAACTGTTGTTTCGTCTACGACACACTGGACGACAATAAAACGACATCGTCGATCGATATCGAAACGATATCATAACGACGGACCGTTTCTTACTGGGAGGCGCTCTCTCCGACTCTTCTCCGCACCGCTGCCCCCTCCCCGCGGTAGGCGGGCGGCAGGCAGCAGGGAAGCGGGGTGGGGGGGGGGGGGGGCACTGCGCCGCAGCGCCACGCCACCGCTGAGCTGAAGACTGCGCGCATTGGTTTTGTGGCCTCGTTGGGGTACTGTCTATTTCTTAGCCCTGTGTACAAGTTTTAGTTGAAAAACATTTTAATTTGTTCGGGAGAATCATTGCTTTTCAACCAAATACCAACTTGCGGATGCGGGAAAATATCAAGGGGAGCATGAAGTTATTTAAGGTGGAAACCGCGTTCAGAGGCGTAACCACAATAAAAAAGTTGAGGGGGCCGTATGGTGGGCTGCCTACCTACCAGGCGGACTCGAAGACCGTGATATAGATAAAAAAATTAGGGTATCTTGAATATAAAAGGAGGGAATGAAGTGATAAAAACACGCTCAGGGCGAGGCGCGGCCAGGCAGGCACCAGGCAGCCTTTCGAACCGTCTGCTACAGCTGTCTATCGACCGACCGACAGTCGGCATCGGCGCGAACTGATCAATTTTGTTCTGTTTAGTCGGTCTTAAAGTATGGGGGGGCGCCCCCTCCCCCAACTCGAAAGTCGAAAGTTTAGGGGCCGCGGACCCCCCCCGTGGTTACGCCACTGACCGCGTTAAAATACCGCGTTTTTGCAGATTCAAGGTACGGCGGCTTGAGCTCAGCGCCTGCGGGACTCGGGGTAGGCCACACTGCTGTACACGCATGCATTGTAGGAACGCTGTTGCCTACCCATCAGGCGCTACGAGAGCTTGCATGCATACCAATGGCCCAGTACGGAGTAGGGAAACTCATCTGCGTCTTCGAGCAGGGTATTCGAACCACCGACCACCCCACTGGAAGCGGACGATTATCTCAAAATATTTCCCCACGGATGGGGATATACCGATACCGGCTTTTTCAAGGTACTCCTCAAGCTAGTTTGAACAATAACGATGGCCTGGCAAGGTTCAGGGAAGGAGAGGGCGGGCGACGGATTTTCCCAGAAAGACCCTCCCCTCATGCCCCGCCTCCACTGCATGCAATAAGGTCACGCAGGGAGCGTTGGTGCAAAGCTGGGCGCAGAGAGATTGTGTTGTGGTCGTCCTCATCCCGGGACCCTCAGCGCGAGCGCGCCAACCCTGCAGTTACCTGTCACTAGGGTACCCCAAGAGTAAGGTCATGGTAAAAATTTCCCAGTGTTCATGTCTTATTCCGTGATGCCTCAAGAAAAAGGCCTCCTGTCAAAATCTGAGCAAAATTGGACAATATTTGACCCTCGCGAAGTCGGTTCAAAGTTTAACATAAGTTTCTTATGGGCGATCTTAAGAAAAAGCACAAATTTGGCCCAGGGCTCAAAGTACTTATTGTAGACCATATCTGTAGTCAGAATCGTAATCTACGCTAAAAACCGAGCCAGACGATATGCCGCTTGCTACTGTAGTCCACCTCGCCCCTATTTTATACAGGGGTGAAAATAGCGAAAAACAGCCAAAAATGACGGATTTCGGCAAAAAATCAAAATATTTTCTTTGAAACGCGATGGAGTATACTGGCAAGCGGCATGTCGTCTGGCTCGGTTTTAAGCGTAGATTGCAAATTGCCTACCTTTCAGGCGGCTCTCTACAGACGACACTGGGGGCGATCGCCCCCCTCCCTCCCCACAGAGGGTCGGTCTGTGAGCGACCTTTACCGGCTGCACGCCATGCCGTCCTCAGTAAAGTCGGTTGTTGTTGTTGCCTGAACTTGTTCCTCCGTGCATTATTCCGAACACTATCACGATTCTGTTAGCGGCCTGCAAACAACCGCGTCAGCCGTAGCATCCAAGGGCCCCTTCCGCAACCAACCTTCAACGCCTCTGCTGCCGTATTTTTGCTATATCCTATTAGAAATGTTGTCGTTGCCCCGCTGCCCCATAAATCTCCTAGTTGTACCTAGAGTCACCTACCTACCTCCTGAACACCGTGTATTTACAGTGTAGACGTAGACGCTTCTCCAGATGATCCCCTATTTTCGACAAAAATGGGAGGGGGAAGGGAGGGGGGGGTAGTAGGGTTGTCATGGCATGCCCCGAGACAGATCTTGAATTTCATAAGTGGATCGCAATGCAAATGAAATTGCTTCCTTGATGCCCGCCCCCCTCGCAGTAGTCTGTTGTTGTCAGTCGGTGAGGTGTTCGGAACTGCTTAGCTCGCCGTACTCTCAAAGACCCCACTGTCACCGTCCACAAGAGTC